GGCTGCGGGTCCTGCCTGGGGGCGGCGCTGGCCCTGCTGCTGCTGCTGCTGCCCGCCTGCTGCCCGGTGCGGGCGCAGAACGACACCGAGCCCATCGTGCTGGAGGGCAAGTGCCTGGTGGTGTGCGACTCCAGCCCGTCGGCGGACGGCGCCGTCACCTCCTCGCTGGGCATCTCCGTGCGCTCCGGCAGTGCCAAGGTGGCCTTCTCCGCCACGCGGAGCACCAACCACGAGCCGTCCGAGATGAGCAATCGCACCATGACCATCTACTTCGACCAGGTCAGCGCGCCCGCCCCGCCGCAGCCCCGGGAGGAGAGGGCGGGCCCGGGCGCGCGGGCTGGGGGCCCTGGGGGCCCTGGGGTCCCGGACGGGGGTTCCGGGCTCTCTCCTCCCTGCCCTGCCTGCTCTGCCTTCTCCTCTCCTTTTTCTTTTTTCTAGTACGCACTCCTCCTGTTTCACCTTTGCACGTTGTAGTCTTTCCGTTTTACTGTTAAAGATCAGCTCCCTTAGCGTTTGTGTGACTGAGCGTCCCTTAAAGCTGAGTTTTCTCAGAGTCCCATGAAACTAAAAGGTTTGAAGTATATTTCCAGAAAGGAAGCGTTGCACGTGTTACTTTTCGCTGTGGGGTGGGGAGAACTGGTGTTTGATGGTCTTCAGTTACCCGGGTGGCCACCTTGACGAATGGGTGCGGTTACACTCTGCACACTCAGGAGAGGCGTCCTCAACCAACATTTAGAAAATGCACACCTATTGCTCATTTTGAGGAATGGACTGGGGGAGGGGATGTTTATCTTCAAGAAAAATAACTGGGGAAGAGTGTGGGTGAAATTGCAGGGGTGGTTATATAAATACAAGGCAAAATAAAGAAGGTGGTTATATAAAAGCAGTATATAGTAAATGAAATATATACAACATGCAAATGTAATATGTACAATATATGAATATATACTGTGCAGTTATATAAATTAAGAAAAATAAAGAGCAGTGACTTAAGTGGCCTTAAGCCACTTAACTTCTGCCACTTGGTTCAGAGCAGAAGAGTCAGCAATATGATCAAGCCTTTGCAATCCCTTCTCTGAGTTATTGGTTCTCAGGGTTAAAGGTCGTGACCTTCTTTTTGGGTCGTCCGTCCGTGGTTTTTATTACTTTTCAGAAACAAGTTGAAAACATTATAGTGGTTTCCAAACTTCAGCGAATCAGCTAACCCTTTTGCCACCGTGTTTCCCACAAAATGGAGCACTGAGTACTCCTCAGTCGTATCGGGCTTACTGTACATGCGCAATTGACTTTCTTCTCTGTTGACAAGGCTTAAACCTAAGTAATGATAAACCTACACACACATTTGCCTCTTTTTAGGCCACTGTATTTATTTTTTAAATCCTTATTAAGGTTCATTCATTTGAGGGAGTTTTATTTGGGGAGTGTCTCTTTGATTGGTTTTTATTTATAAAATATAAATATTTATTATGTCAAAATAAAGGAGACAACAATGAAGCAGGCATTTAGGAACTGTATACTCGATTGGTAAGTTTTGCTTTATGTGTTATTGTTATTATATGATTATTATTCACTCGCCAATGTCTTACAAGTAGTTTTCACAGCATTTTCACGTCCACCATTTCATTAGTGTGTCAAGAAAACTCTGTGATGTAGGGCAGGATGAGTAGTAGTAGGATTCTAATTTTATGCAAGGCTGGTTAAATAATGTTTCCCTGATTGCCCAGTTAGGGAGGTACTGAGGCCTGATTTCCGGGGCCTGGTCGGGGGTGTTCGTTCATCTGCTGCAGGGGCCTGAATTTACTGGTTTCCAGAATTTAAAATTGTGGTGAAGGAGTTGAGACGAAGGAAAAAAGCAGCTCTCAGGGCTTAAATGGAGAACCCTTTATTCTTTTCTCCAGCTTTGTAAGGAGGACTGAGAGCAGCAGCCCGAGAGCTGAGAATAGGCCTGCTGAGGGGCTCGCCTTTGACAATGGGGCCCGAGTGTCTTTCTCAGCTCTGCCCTTGAGCGGGGCTGAAGTGGAGCTCACAGCTGGGCTGAGGAAGCTGGAGCAGGCATGTTTCACAAGCCATTTCGGTGGTTGTCACTGGCAGCATTTCACACTGCTTGGGGAATTGCACGCTATTCTGTAATGAGCACGTAGGACATAACAGCGAAAGGTATTCTGGCTGGAGTTTGTTTTCTGATTAGATGACAAGATCTTTAATCTAGGGTTTTGATGTTGCTGCTGGCTCTTTGTCTTAAAAGCAGAGAAGATTATTTGTTGTGCATGTGTGGGTGAGGAGGAGGATAGGGACAGGATCCAGACAAAGTGGCCAGATTCTGTCTTGAACATCTGAAAGGAAATTGGGTCACACGGGAGACCCGCCACTGGGGAAGTTCTGCTTATGACATTGTAGCACCGATTCCCCTTTGATCGGAGGAAAACCATCTGCAGGGTCATGTGATCTCGTGTCAGGTGCCTAATTTGGTCATTCTCCTTGCACGTTGTAGAATTCCATTAGTTTGAGCTAAGGATGTCCACGCTGCTGATTCTGTATTGAAGCTTCTTTGTCAGACACCACAGCTCAGCCGAGGCAGCCACATTGCATAGAGGAAAGTGAGAAAAACATGTGCAGCAAATGTTTGTCAACAGTCTTTCATGCAACATTCATTATTGAGCACCTACTGTGTGCTGCCTGTGAGTGTGCCAGGCACTGGGAAACACTGGAGACCAAACCCTCACGGGGTCTGTTTTCTCCCGGAGCACAGGAAGTTAGGTCCCAAGCTTGATCTTACAGAAGTGAGCTCATGTCCTTGTCCCTAGGCCTTGCTCTGCCCCTCAGTGTGGAACTCTGTTTCTGTTAAACAGAGCATCATAGCTGAAGTCCCCATAATCCTGCAGACCTCTACAGATTCAATTTACGATTTGTTTACTGAGCTTACCACCTTCGGTTCCTTTCTCTCTGCCCTGCCCTCGCCCCCAGCATCTGAAATTCACATTCACTTTTTGAATGCATAAATAAAATATACTTTAAAAATCTTTATTAATTACAATTCATTAGAATACCTTTGAAATCAATTCCTGCTGTAAGCTATTTTAACTTCAGCACTACCTCCTTCCTGGGGAAGCCTGACAATGCTGAGTTTGTGTTCCCGGCTGCTCTGCAGCTGATAAATGAACTGGCGTCGGTGGTCATCCGGGTATGATTAAACCCTGTGCTGAGGAGGGCCTTGCCATGGTTGTGCTGTATTCCCTTTTCTTTTCCAGGTGTTAGTAAATATCGGCAACCATTTTGATCTTGCCTCCAGTATATTTGTAGCACCGAGAAAAGGAATTTATAGCTTCAGCTTCCACGTGGTCAAAGTGTATAACAGACAAACCATCCAGGTGGGTAGCTTTGAGAACTGGCCCCTTCCAGGTTTGGGTTCAGAGTTCCCCATTGCTAAAGGCTATTTCCCATGGTCTGTGGGGTTGGGAGGGGCGGGGGGTTGGCTTTTCCGGGGGGGTGTGGCTCAGAACCAGCCCTGTGTCCTCACTGCCAGGCCTCCTGGTGTGGGCTCTAAGTGAAGGGTGGAGGAGGGAGTGGGGACGCGGGGAACGAACAGTGTGTAAGAGTGGGGTCCTTTATGATCTGCTGAGCTTTACTCTCTGCGTTTTAGGTCAGTTTAATGCAGAATGGCTACCCAGTGATCTCAGCCTTTGCAGGAGACCAGGATGTTACCAGAGAAGCTGCTAGTAATGGCGTCCTGCTGCTCATGGAAAGGGAAGACAAAGTGCATCTCAAACTGGAGAGGGGCAACCTCATGGGGGGCTGGAAATACTCCACATTCTCGGGCTTCTTGGTTTTCCCTCTATAAATGCAAAGGCCCCTGGATGGTGGGAAAATTGGAATCTGGACCCAGGAATCCACCCTTCGAAACACCCTGAACTTGCCCTAATAGGACAACTTGTTTCCAACCTCTGTCAGACTGTTGCAGTAGAAGAATGATTTCCTTCTAAATCTCCAGTATTTTTTTTGAATATTGACAATTCCTCGGGAACCTGGCCTCTAATTAGTTTTAGACGACAAGGTCTTAAGGAGAAATGAAATTATCGATTTGAGCAATTTGTACCTGTGATTGTAAAGTCAATATCGGATTTTATTGTTGGGACCATTGACTTACCTTTTTTTGTTTGTACGTTGTATTATTGTCCCAATGCAAGGAGTGCCGCTGACCCCAGGACGGATTGCCGGTTGCTGTCAGGGCTCAAAGCAAGAGCCCAGCAAAGAACCACCTGCTGGATGGTCCTTGACATGTGTTCTGTCTGTGTCTGTACAGCCTTAAGAAAAAGAATGGCTTCACTTTCATTCTGTATTTTCCCCCTACCGGGTGGATGGGAGGACTTGGGAGGGGGATGGGGACATTGTGAACCTGTCAAGAAGTGCTTTATCTAGAGAAGCAGATTTTGCACGATTGGACTGCAACTTTTGTTTTGTATTGTTTGTGTTTTTTGCCTCGGAAAGCTTTACTTTTCTTTCTACACTCAGCTTTCCCTCTTCAACCCCACTTTTATTTTTCTTGCTGGGTTTGGGGAGAGAAAAATATATGTTGAATTCATGAATAAGACCAAACAAAACAAAACAAAAAAATACTTGTATATTTTGTTTTGGATGAGACCAAACCAAACAAAAAGTACCTGTTTATCAAAGTAAAGATAACAGCGGAGAATTCTGCTTATTCTTTCAAAGAGATTCTGAGATACACCTTTAGAACTAGCAACCTGGAATTTTTTTTTTTTTTTAATTTACCCCAGAATCCTTTAAGAACTTGTTGTCGTTACTGGGTGGTCCTGGATCTTTTAAGTTGGGAATGGAAGCTGTAATGACCAAACCCCTAAACACACTGTTTCTTTGCCCAGCGTGCCCTGACTTTTAATTTATTTGGATCCATCTCTGAGTGAGCACACAGTGATCAGGTGCTTCGAAGAAAACAGGACCAGCTCCTCTTCCTCAGGATCCTTTTTCGATCTGCCAAGGAAAGGGATGTGTTGACGCTCTCCTGCTTGCGCCTGGCGGGAAGCCACCTGGAAGTCACAGTGGTTAAAGGTATTGGCGAATGCATCCGAGGAGCAGTTTAACAAATCCTTCTCTTTTTGGCACCCTGTACAACAATATCATTAAGACACAGCTGAAAGTTGATGAGTGCCAAGGAAATGTCACTAATCCCAAAGCAATCAAATATGTGACCTCAAACCGGATGTTAACTTGTTCTTTGTGTAACAATGTAACCAAAATATTGATGATAAAAAGTCATACTTTAAGATTCAGAATAAATGGATTCGATGTCTGGCTTGCTCTTATCCCTCCACATCATGTCCTAACTCTCAAAACGTGAGGAAGCAAAGGCCAAGTATCTAGGACTTGGGGATGATAAATCCGTACTATGCCTCTTTGGAAAGTGCACACACAAACACACACCCCCATATATACAGACCTAGCTAAGGTCTGGGTGGCTGTTGTACACTTAGATACATTTCAATTTATACATACTTAATATTCAAACAGGAAGATTTGGGGAGAGAAGTGTGAAAAAGGCAGCATTAAGAAGATTAAAGTAATTTGCTTTTATCAGATACCATCTTTATGTGGTACAAGTTCCAATTCAGTATTTCCATCAGTGAACACCAACAGAAATGAAGCCAACATTTTAAGATAACATGAGTTGTTTCCAAAACTGTGTGTGAGCATGGAGAGGCAGCAGACTCCATTTTCACATAACAAATGCGGTGGGGGTTTTCTAAATGAAAAGCTGTCTAGTTTGATTAAGACCTAAGTTTTACTGTCCTTACATGGAAGATGCAGAGTTTCATTTGAATTAAAATGCTGTTCAAGTTTTTGAGAGAAAAAAAAAATCAACCTAAAATCATAAGGGGTACCTTGGCTGTGTGATTAAGATGCATACTTCCAAACGTTGTTATTAAGGCTGATAACATAAGCAGAAGGATGCTGGCATACCTTTTCTGTGTTTTACTGCTCTAAGTTATTTTAGTCCCCTTTTCCTCATTTCCTTAATCTTATGTTCAATTTCAAACAAGCAGGAAACCTCATTCGAGGACAATATAGTATTTCAGAGATTGAAAGATATATGAGTACTTGTTATTTTTATTACTTAGTATATAATACACATGTGTTTGTATTTACACCTTTATTATATACAGGTTGTTAATGGGTTAAACTGTATAATAAAATAAGTCATTAAATTGACCAATCTAAAACCGAGTATATTGCAGGAGTTTATTTTATATTAGAAAAAAGCTTCATGCGGACTTTTCTACTCCTATTCTTCTTCTCTTTGTTTCTTGAGATGGATGCCAGAAACTGCATTAGGAAGGAGCCCCGCTGAGAGTAAGTCTGAAGTTGTTTATCATCCCAGGCAGCCTCTGCCAAGGTTCTGTTTGGCAAAGGATCTTGGAGGCATATGAAGTTCCTGTGTATGGTCTACAAAAAGATATAGGTCTGATCAAAATTCTAAATATATATATTTTTTTAATGAGAAAAAAAGTGAGACATCTGTAATATGGAGGGCCAATCTCAGTAGCCTGTCTCTGGGACTCGGTTTTCTTATCTGCGGAGTGGAGGCAATAACCCTGCTTGGTCAGCCCAGCATGCAGGGCTGCTGGGAGGACCCCCAGACATGCTCTGAGAACTGGGAAGTACTTATAGTACAACATGGGGTGCCATTATGGCAGGGAGGACATTTCTGGAAAAGCAGATTTTTCAACATGCAATTTATGAAAAACATGTAAAATGAATATCGGGCAGAAGGACAATTTTATGTGAAAGTAAATTTTCGTATTTCTTAATAGGCTATCAAAACTGTAACACTATATTGAAGTTTTCTTTAATATGATTTTTCGGGCTGATAATTCAAAATTTATACATTTTCCTATTAACCCAATTCTCAATTATGTTATTTGGCTATCCTATGTGGTGCAAATTCACCTTTCTGTTCCAGTTTGTAATACTAATATTTTATTAAAAAAATAAAGAATTGTAACATTTTAACACAAAACATGAGATACTAATGCTATGGCATTGTAATAAGTTGCTCTGCCTGATAAATATTAGTCCTACCAAATTGTAGATGCTTTTAAAACAAGACTATTTTTTAACTTAAAGTATATTCTAATTTGAAGTGCAGCCTTGATTATTTGACTCTAGATCCTAAGAAACAATGTTTACCACCTGTAATTTCTGAGCCTTTTTTGCATCCTAACATTTTATATTTATGTGTTCATGTATAAGTGAAATTATCTACATCTTTAAAGTGTGTGCTTAATATAGCTACTCAGTTAAGATGAAAGCCTATTAAATATTAGCATGAAAACTCATGGAATCCTATAGATTTCATAGATTTACTTATTTGAAAATAATTTTAAGCTAATTATGGTTGCATTAATCATCAGAAGAATTAGAAAAAATAGGCAAAGCAAAACAAAAACCTTTATTGAATCTCTAATTTTATTCATAGTATTTTCATGCTATCAAAAAATTAAAATGGTCACATACTTAGTAACTGTTGCATATACATTGTTTGCCTGTGAATACATGAACATATACACCTGATTTTGTTAGCACAGTAATACAAAATAAAACACACAGATTGTCCACATTCTCCTGGAATCTAGGAATATGTGAGAGGAAAATTTGATGAATCACTTTATACAAGCAAAACAAAGGCGTCGGTTGCTCCAGCATGCTTTAGATATAGCAAAAAGAGCAAAGCATGTTCTGTCAATTTTCGTGACCATAATTTTGCAATCTTTTATAAGGAAAAATGCTGCAATAAGATAACTTTGCTGTGAATAAAATAGTTAATGTTTGTTTACATTTTGACAGCATAAAAAGTATATAACAATCTAATGCACAGATGCAAATGAATAAAAGGCTCTTTTACATTATAAATAAGATGGTGTAAATGGATTCAGGTTTCATCGAATCACTCTAAGGGTTTACTGTGTGCTCTGTAGAAACACTTACAAAAAATGTAGAAGGAGATTAACTGTAGAACTACACTGAGTTTTGCCCTCTTGCCTTGCTTGTGTGGAAGCTTACTTGTCATTTTTATTCTGTTTCTAAAGCTAGCACTTTGCTACTAAAATGGGATATTATGAACATATTTTAAAATTTAAGATCAAAGCCTATTAATTCTCATGAGACTCTTGAGATTACATTTCTTGGCATTTATAGAGCAAGCACACCAAATATACCGAAGTTACAATACAATTTCCATTTTGGTTTTATTGTTTTACTTTTTGTTCTCTGCATCTTTTTTCTGTGATACTCTATGAAGAAGTTAGCTAGTGATGACGACAATCATCAGTCGTGTGTTTCTGTATTTACCTCATATTTTAGAACATATTTTTGCAGATAGAATTCACCAAAAAGCATATTTACTGCCTTTGCAGATGGAGGGCTACAATTCATTTTTTTTTAAAAAAGATATTTTAAACTTCACTATGTTACATAGCTATCGATCATGTGATTGGGCAGATCCAGTTCTCATACCCGCAACTCTCTAAAAACAAAAAGTCATATCAAAAGTCCTTTAAAAGGTCCAATGAATATAAACTTCAAAAAAAAAGAAAGCATGTATGTGAGTCTGTATAATAACGTTATACCAAAGCATGAATCTGCAGTAAATGAGCTTTCCTTGCATTCCCAGACCCAGTAGGGTAACTTGAAATTTGTAAGGGCAAAAGCCACGTGATTTTACCTCCTACAGATAATAGAAGTACTGTTTTGTCTTCCTAAGTGGGTTTTGCTGTAGGTTTCCATCACCAGAATTACTTGAGTGCCAATAGCATCATAAATCATCATCTTCATCAGCTTGCCCACAAACACTCACTGTGTAGTGTAAATGAGCTCCTTGACAACTTAATTTGGAAAAGAAATCTTCATTCCCTCTTCTTAATGCCTACAGCAGGACTCCCCAGGGTGAGAGTGCTGCCTTGCGCAAGGGCTATCCTCACAAAATGGAAGCGACTTATTAATGAGCCACCACCAGTCTTGCATCCCAACTAGCAATGCCTGAACTTTCACTGTTGTTCCCACACATTCTTCAGGAATGCCGATTTTCTTCTTCTGAATTCATAATCGGGTTGCAAAACAACATTGAGATAGAGAATATCAGCAATACTTTGGAATGTGGGACTCCTAAGTATTTTGCTTAAGGCTGTTTGATCTTATTTTATTCATTTAAAAATACTTATATGAATCTCTTATGTCTTCAAAGTCCCCTAGGATATAGGGCATTTCCTTGACTTTTTACTAAAAATGAGCATTTACTGTGATTCTGGGTACATCATTATTACAGAACTGATAAGAAGAGAATAATATCAGAATAAAAGAATATCTAAAAATAGTTATTAATTGGGTAAAATTTGGCAAATTCCCCGTATTACTAAATTCTCTTATTTGCAGTATTTTTATATGTATCTTAAAGATTTCTGCCAGCCTTAAAAGTATATTATTCTATGAAACATTTGTCTTTGAATTGCTGGGATTTTTTGTATAATCCTGTAACTGTTGGATTATTAGTGGTATACTTCCAGAGAGTAGTCTATCACTGAAAAACACATTTAGGACATGGAAATGAGATACTGTCTTCTTTTCATATTCCCAGGCACCATGTCAGGATGCCGTAGCATGGTTTTTGTTCTGCCATTGTCAACTGTCAGTGCAAAGAGCAATTATATTACTTTTAAACAATGATCTATTCTTTTGGGAACAGGGTGCAAATATTTCCTTTTCATTTTACAACATTTGTGTATAGCAGCCCCTAGGCCATAGAGTGTGCTTAAAAATGATGATTAGAAAAATAAAGATACACTCAGTGTGCACCAAGAGCTTATAGTCCTTCTTAAAAACAATGTTCAAAACTAGCCTGTAGGATATTCAGTTAAACTGATGGTGAGGGGGTGGGCTGGGGTGGGTGTCAAAGGAACCTTAGAAATTTGAATGCATATTTACTGAAGTGAATATGTAATTTCTATTTTTTTCATATGAAGAGGAGAATGTTATTTTGGCATTGACATTGAATACTGAACGTCATCTGATGTCTCAATTAAAAGGTCCCCCTATGCTGAACATGGTTGCACAGTAGGGCTCATGGACTAACCTGGAACGTATTAAGGTGGATAGGGACAGGCACCGGGAATTTCCATTGTTTTAACACGTAAAGCTTAACTCTATTGCCCTTTTTACTGTTTTACTATTTCTTCTTGTCTTCTATGTAGTGAATTACTTGGGAAGACAGAAGGCATGCTGGAATTAGTCAAATCCTTAGAAG